GAACCTCACAACAACCTTCATTTAAATTTATTGAATGGTCGGGTCCTATAATAAATGGTCAAATCAAAGATTATTTAATTCGAGACAAATGGACAGTCAATAGACTGGATCTGGATGTGACTAATCTTTCAGATATCGCCACAAATGCTTTCAAAGGGGCGAACATTGTAGAGCTTAATATAATGAGAAGTGAGTTAAAGATAGAGAAAGCCATCGATGCCATTTCCAATATTAGGGATAGGTTGCGCAAGTTAAGTATCAATCTGGATAATAACATACACCATGATATACCTGAAATGTTATTTGATCCTCATAAAGACAATCCATTTAGATTACAAGAATTGAAATTTGTTGGAACTTTTACTGTAAAAATAAACCAGAATATTATAAATACTGATAAAGATATTGAATTAATTGAATTTAAAGTACAAAAAATCGTCAAAATTGATAAGTGGGCATTTGATCTTGCAACTTGTGAACTAGGGGATAAGTGTCCGAAAGTGACAATTAATTTAGAAAACACTCAATTAAATGAAGAGAGTCTAGTTTGGGATGCGTTCATGATATCCGATACCAATAAAAAGCAATATGACATCAATTTGGGTAAAGTATTCCAAGTTTAGTATTCCAAGTTTAGTATTGCAAGTTTATATTGATCAAATAATTTTTTTTGGAAATATATTAGGTAACAATAACTTCAATTTCATACGGGAAGTGCATTTCGCAAAGGTTTTAAATAATAATGCGAAGAATATATTGGATATGACTGACAATCCCATTGCTTGTAGTGCAGCAAACAGGGATCAATTTGAATGGCTGTTGTCTAATAATAGTTCATATAAAAGTCGTGTGCTAGCTAATTGTCAAAATAGTGGTATTTCAATTTGGGATTACGATTGGGATTCAGGTATAACACCAATTAAATGTTCAAGTAATTGATTTATTTGATTTTGATGAATAAATTCCCTTAAGATATAGTAAAAAAGGATATCAATAGCATTGAAGATGTTATTAAATATATCGACGAAATGACGAATAAAACACTTTATAATAATGGATTGAAATCTATTGAAGAGTTAAAAGATGTCATTATAATAATTGATGAAATAAATACATATTTGCAAACAAATCATACAAAACCTATTGATCCAATTAAGGCTAAGAATATATCCCAACATTTTGTTACACTTTTCAGTCAAATAATTGATCAAAACGTATGGATGGATGGGAATAGTAGTGAGAAAATAGAGTTGGCGTCAAAAGTGTTATATTTCGTACAAACCATTGCTTTCGCCACTAATTGTTATTTAAGTGCACAAAATAATTCAGTATTATTTGTGAGCAAGAATTTAGTTGAAAATAATATTTTTAATATAACGGATGAAATTACTTTTAAATATAATTTTTCTTCATTACAAATACCAAATAGTAGTCAATACCAGGGAAGGGATGATGAGATGTATTCGTGTGTTAATAATACCTCTTTGGGAACACTTATCGATAAATTGGGACAATATTTAAGTGATGGTATGATTGAAACACAAATCAATAGCAATATAATAGCGTTTAATATTAGAAATACTAATAAAAGTTACGAATTCAGCGATGGGTCTGAAGTTAAAATTAGGTATTTATTTTATAAATTATTTGTAAACCATTTTAATAATTAATTCATAAATAGTCTAAAACACAAGAATCGGTTGGTTTTGGGCGATAGAGTTGAGTGTGTTTTCTGGGACTTTGATCACAAGAAGTGGTCATCAGATGGATGTCATGTAATGGAGAGTGAATCCAATCGCGAGACAACTGTCTGTGAATGCAATCATTTGACTAATTTTGCGGCTCTTATGGACACTTCCGGTCGAGAAGATAATAGTTTTGGCAAAAATATTTTCACATATATTTGTTGCGGACTTTCAATCATAAGTCTCTCAATATGTCTGTTATTTTTATGGAGAAAAAAGTTATTTAATATGAGATTAAATAGAGAGGGAAAAACTGAGCACACCTTAAGATTTTTGGAAAAACAAGACTTTTTTGTAATTAATTTATGTATTTGTCTATTGATTACAAATTTAATGATTATTATAGGAATGGATAGAAAAGAATGCTTGGTAATTATATTTCTATTATATTAAATTACTGCATAATTAACTTGTTTTAAATGTTATTTATAGGAAGTTTGTGAAGTAATGTCAATGTTATTGTTGTTTTCAATTTTATCGACATTTGTTTGGATGCTTTTGAATGGATTTCAATTCTTCCAATTGGCTAACAATGCAATGAATATTGACTATAAAAA